GCGAGGATTGGTCACCGAGCTTATCGGTATGTTGAGCTCCGTCAGAGTATTCAAAAACCCCGTCCATCCCTTGGGCGTTGGAGATTTCTTTTTATAAGAGACTGATAGGTTTTTAAACAAGTCAATCATATGCGAACCTCTCACAATCTTTCCCTCGTGAATAAATTCGCCCTTGGGAGTCCACCCGTCCTGGCTCTTTACTAATTTCTTCATAATATACTCGGCATTTTTGCGGTCGCGTTGAGGAAGATTTTGCAGTACCTCGCGAGCCGTCTCATCCAGTCCTGCCTCTTTCTCGTCCTTTTCTTCATTTTCATCCGTTTTTTTTTTCTTCCGGCTCGTCAGAGTCGCGAGGTAGGCCTCTCGCCGTCTTTAGGTAAAGTCGACGTTCCTCCTCCCCGTTTGACCAGGGTGAGGTATCTTTGTAACAGAGCGTTATATTTTTTAATTTTTTCATAAGGATTAAGCCCCCGTTCGTTTAATATATCCCTCATTTTTGCGTCTAAATCATTTTTAGCCGTATGTCTCATGGCCTGAGATTCACCGTTGTAGTTGTTGTTGCCCAAAGTCTGACTCATACGGCTCAGCTGTTGAGGCGTGACCAGAAACATCTTTTGAGACATTTTTTTTTGTTTTTTCCTGTTCAGCGCCTATTAATTAGTCCTCCTAGAAGCTGTCCAAAGATGGGCACAACCGCTGAAAGCAGAGGCAATAGAAACCCTCCGGACTGGGTCATCAGAGCTCGGCGCTTGGTTTTTAGGCTGGCTTTTTTATTTGCCAGCAATTTGATAATTTTCTTTTGCCTTTTGAGTTTTTCAATATTGAGCCCTGGTCAGGGGAATGTTTCCTTTTAAAACATTTAAAGAGAGTTCGCACAAAGACTGAAGAAAGTCGGAAGAGCCATGGTTAAGAATATCTTTACACCTCTGAGGCGTGGCGTGACACAAAGCACGCAGTAAAGGAGCATTCCTTTTTAAACGCGCAGACATGACGACGATGATGAATGATGATGATGATGATGATGATGATTCAGGGAGACCGTGATTTAGGTAGATGCACGACGGGCCACTGCTCCGGTAACAACCCCAATCTCAGTCTGTATTGTTCTGGACAATTTGGGGTGAGATCTACGATTAAATAACTGTGAGCGTCTGTGGTGGCATCTTCAAAGCTTTCTGAAAAAAAAAAAGTTTTTCTCAAAGGAAAAATTTGTTGAGCCAATATATTTATCTGTAACCTATCTCTGGGGTTTTTAAACAAGACCAGGTAATTACTGTTTAAGCTGATGGTCCGACTGTGTTTGCCCTGATGAAAAACATTTTGCGTCAACATCATGACGCTCATGTTCCCTACTTCGGGATGGTCGGAAGCCTGAAAAATGACATCGTCCAGGATAATCAAGTGACTTTGATTGGGGGGAAACAGGTTCTCATCGTCAAAAGAATCAGGCAAGCCTTCAACAAATTTAATATTTTTATTCATCTTTTGCAGTTCACCGTACATAGGCTGGAACGAAGTGTATATCCATACAATATTTTCAGGCACCTGAGACAAAACATCTTGACAGTTTTCCAATACACTTTTGACAAAAAAGTTTTTCCACAACCGCTGGGTCCCACAATCTGACATGAGAAAGGCACTCGCAGTCTAGGATCAAAGTCAATCGGCCGGTGGTCTGCAGAAAACATTTCAATAGCCAAACGGCAACGTTTTACCTGTGGAAAGCAGCCATCTCTTGTCAAATACCACACGAAACCTTTTTAAAAATGACGAGTTTTTAAGCAGAAACCTGTTTTTATCCCTCTTTATACCGTGTTGAAGAGTCTCAATAAACCCCTCCTCCTCCTCCTCCTCCCTCTCCCCCGTACGGTGGTTTTGCAGGTAACCCTCTACCAGCTCTTTGACGCTGTCAAAATTGATTTTTTCACAACATTCGTGCGTCTGAGTAATGCCCTTCACCCGCGTTTGTTTTTTCTGGTCAAGTAGGCGTAACTTTTAGGACCCGCCGCCGCAAATTCCTTTATGGTGTTGCCCCCCAACTCGTCCGTCAAGTCTCCCAAATAATTACCCAGTTTGAGCCCCTTCTCTCCCTCTTTTGCGACATAAATTAGAGAGTAGGTGTCGAGGTAAAGTACCCGATTTTGCAATTGATGCAAATAGTCATATAACTTTAGACGGCCGTAGGCTGTGGTGGATAGTGAGGAAAGCAAGGACTCATACATTGGTGAAACCAAACAACCATTAAACAAGCGCATGGCTCAACACAGAAGGGCAAACTCCTCAGGTCCAGTTTCTGCTGTTTATTTACATCTAAAGGAGAAGGCTCACTCTTTTGAGGACAGCAATGTGAAAATCTTGGACAGAGAGGACAGATGGTTCGAAAGAGGGGTGAAAGAATCCATCTACGTTAAAATAGAGAAACCGTCTCTAAACAGGGGAGGTGGCCTGAGACACCACCAATCCTCCATTTACAATGCGGCCCTTGCTGCTGTACCTAAGAGATTGAACAACAAAGACTGCCCGAAACTAACCTCAAGTGGCTCAAAGAAACACAACGACAGTCGTTCACTGGTAACCACACATCATGCCTAACGACTGTTGCTCACCAGTGGCCCCACCCACTCCTAACGACCGTCGTTCACTAGTGTGACTCACCTGACCCAAACAATGGTCCAGTGAAACTCCACTAACGAAGTATTGTCTTAGGAGGGTGGTGGGTGTACACCTCCACAGAGGTTAAAAACCTGAGTCTTACTCCACTGTTTGTCAGACTAGTGAGGACTAGTCAGACTGATGCGTTGAGAACTGATGAAGCCGCTTGGATAAGAGGCGAAACGTCTTCTAGACAAAATCAAAGTCCAGTTGCCTACGATTTAATTGTTGCCAGAAATTTCTCTGTATGTTTTGTCTCGACGGGTAAACGCTGTATGTAACACAGGTGCTCCTCGCTCTCGTCTTTTTCTACGGTTACGCCGCAGATTTTACATTTAACTTTTGGACACGCGTGTTGTTTACCGTTACCGTTCATAGCGATGTAGTATAGCATGTCGCATTTTTTGCATCTTTTAATCAGCTCGCAATTACTGCTCTTTGTGTTTGGCTAAACACGACACGGAATGGCACGTTCTGTTACAGTCGACGCAAACTACAGGTCGGAGCTCTTGCTCGCTACAGGAGGGGTCCGAGCAAACGGAGCAATGACCCTCGCAATAGTGACACACGACAGAGGTGTACCCCGTGTAGCAATACTCGCACACGTACAGTGAGCCTAGGAAAGATTTCAGGCTCGTTATGCCGTAGTAGTGTTTTTCAAACAGAAACATAAACACTGTCTTTTGTCTTCTCGGTGAATCGGTTGCAAATTTAGAGAGCGTTCAAGCGTCGTCGGTTCTGTAGAACACTACAATTTTGCAGTTTGAGACTTTTTCAAATTTCGCTATATCGCCGAACGTTACTGCAGTCTGATCGTTCAAACCCGCCTTACTTTGAATGTCTCTGCCGAGCGCAAACGCTTCGCTATCGACAATATCGGGGTAAAGCAGGTGAGCCAGATTAATTGCAAAAGAAAGTTGGTTGTCGTGGCCGTTGATTACGACCCGCAGAGACCGTCGCTTTTTTTTAATAATCTCGCCGTCTAAGGTATTAGACAAGAGTCTTCTTCGACCGCCGCCTCGGGGGTTTTTGACGAGTTGGACGGTGAATACCAAATTACCGTCAGTTTTAACGGCTGTGTTAGATTGCACAATTCGGTCTAGGAAAGACTGTAAGTGAGTTAAATCAAACTCCTCTCCGCTCACGACGGAGGACGCACCTTGAGGCAGAGTATTGCCTCTCAACTCAAGCTGCACCAAATCTTGTCGTTCGACTTGTGAAATGACGTTCGTCACCGCTTGCGCCATCTCTGTAAACACCCTGACATAAAATTCACCAAAATCCGCCGTACCTTGATGTAGTTCTGTAATGTTGACGTTGAGCGGATGGCTGGATTCAACGTTGTTAAATCTAGGTCGCGTCACCACCCTCGACGAGGGTGAATTTTGAGGCGAGTTTTCTTGCTGCATTGTATGTTGATGTTCTAAATTTTCTGAATGAACATCCTCTACATTACCCCCTCGCTGTTGATTTTGACGGTCGGACATTGCACGTTGTACATTTTCTAAATGATTTAGAGCATGGTCTATGGCGTTAAAGACGCTCGTTTGATTTTGGGCACTTTGATTATTATCAAGTCGGGTCTCGGTTTTGAAATGTGTGTCGTTTGAGATCGAGGATTTGGCGGGTATTTGATTTAACAAATCTTGACATTGGCTTATCGTATTTAAAACAGCTTGCGTATGATTAAGTTCGGTGATAGCAAAATCAATATCTGAGAATGGGTCAGGGATAAAAGAAATGACGGGGCTTTGTTCTCTGATTAAAGAGTCGTACTGCGTGGTTATGCTGTTTGAAGAGGACAAGGGTATTTGATTTAACAAGTCTTGACATTGATTTATGGTGTTTAAAATGCTTTGAGAATGATCAAGAGCTGCGATAGCCATATTGATGTCTGTGAGTGGGTCAGTGATTTCTACATCTTGTTGTGCTTCTCATAAAGACTGAGCGGGTTCTCGAGTTTCATTTAATACATTCTGGTTTAATTCTTGTATCATCACATCAAGTATTGCGGGACAGTGGTTGCTTTCATCCATGGTTACAGAAAATAAAAAACAAAATAAAAAAAAACAAACAACAACAACCCAAACTTACACTCAAACACCAAGGCCTAGCACAAAGAGGATCTCGCTCATGGCCCTTAGCATAGTACCAACGAGAAGATGTATTTTCTTCTTTCTCCCTCTGACAGGTCGCACGTTTGATACTATGCGTACATTTTCTGGGTCTTTTTGCTGAAAAGAGAGAGAGAGAGGGAGAGAGAGAGAGAGATTTATTCATTATTTTATTCAAATTGTATGCTAAATTAAATAACAAGTAATAAATATGAAATATACGTTTGTTGGTTAGATATATATCCCATATCTATATCACTTTCTTGTTCCTCACATAAAGATTGAGTGGGTTCCTGAGTTTCATTTAATACATTCTGGTTTAATTCATGTATCATCAAGTATTGAGGGACGGCGGTTGCTTTCAAGCTCAAACACCAAGGCCCATCACAAAGAGGATTTCGCTCATGGTCCTTAGCATAGTACCAACAAGAAGATGTATTTCTTGTCTCTCCCTCTGACAGGTTGCACATTTGAAACTATGCGTACATTTTCTGGGTGTTTTTGCTGAAAAAGAGAGAGAGAGAAGATAAGATAAGATACACCTTTATTGATCCCATAATTGAGAAATTCCAGTGTTACAGTGGTCAAGGGGAAAGAGTCAGATTAAAGATTTCAAAATTTAAACTTGAAAAACTAGGCATGCCAAATAAGTACAAAATACAAGAAACGGCAATAAATAACAATTATAATAGTAATAATAATAATAATAACAATAATGAAAAGCGGTGAATGAAAATGAGCTGTGGATAAAAGGGAGCACATCTAGTGCAAAGTGATCATTTTAAAAGTCATTATTTTATTCAAATTGTATTCTTAATGAAATAAAAACAAGTAATAAATATGAAATATACGTTTGTTGGTTAGGGGGAATGTTTATGAGCCGACGCGTGTTTCACATCGGACATATATCGATAATGGTCCAACTTCATGTTTGTAGCATTGCAGCGTGAAGCCGACACAGATCCTGCGTTTTTACTTTTTTGAAAAAGAAAATAAAAGGTTTTGACTCACCGGTTATACAAGCGTTGCGAGAAACACTCGGTCGACCGTCGCTGTCGTTGCTGCTGGTGCTGCTGGAGCTGCTGGCGCTGCTGCTGGGCGTCCGCCACCTCTTCCTCCCGGGTGCAGAAGAATGTAGCGTTTGTACAGGAGGACGTGTACCGTCCTTCGCATGCTCCGGAGCGGTCTGAGATGATGGTTGGACCGGGTCAGCTCTTTTAACCACGTCGGCTGTTGAGGGAATCGGTGCCGGAGCAGAGTGCTTAGTTTCTTCGGCCTCTGCTTGACGAATGATTTCACTCAACTCTTCCAGATTATTGACCGTGACTGTAAAACAAACAAAAACAACGGAATATATTGTGTATTAGATGCGTAAATGTGTGCGTTAACAACATCAACAAGAACAAGACTTACAGTAGGACAGGTTGTTATACTCTGGGCTCATGAGATAACCTTCGTCCGTTAGATTGATGATGTCTGTAAATAGAAAATAATAATAATAAATTAACGGATCACTGTGAAACTTAAAGGACAAGAAAATGGTTTAAAAATAGATGGTAAAAGTTTTCTTACCAAGGTCCATGATAGGTCTCGGTGTTCCTGTAAATGTGCTCTTTGGTGTGAGTAACTAACAAGTTGTGGAAAAAGCTGTATTTAAAGAAAAACGTACGAATGGTAACCTATACTTTATTGATTGTAATAGGCCTATGTGCTTAAAAGCTCACTCCATGATGGTCACACACACACACACACTATTCACTTTGCGTCAGTTTCTCCAAATCGCCTTAGCATATGGGGTGTGTGTGTGTGTGCGCGTGTGCGTGTGTGGAGGTGATTGTTGGGTGAGAATCGCTTGCACTTTCACACTTTGTACTTTTCGTTAGATCTCATCTTTTCACCCTCTGTAACTAATATAATTAACGTGGTTTTTTTATGTCACAAACAAAAAGAGTTTAAATAAACGGAATATTTAATTGCTGTGTGTGTGTGTGTGTGTGTGTGTGTGTGTTTGAGAGAAAGGGAAAAAAGAAGATGGTGAGGATTTATTTTAACTACATCACCGTATCGTGATATTGTGTCTGGCGCGTCTCATTCCCCCCTCACTACATCCTGGCTCCCACAACATTCACCCCGGTGTGTTACTGGGAAAGTTCTTCATTCACAAATGCAGATATTTTAAGACTCATTGGAGGAATGAGCTAAAACTCTCAAGTCCCTCAGTCTTGTTAAAGAAAGCCCTTACATTATTTTCTTTACTAGAAACATTTAAGTTAATATGACTGTGATTTATTTTTTATTTTATTGTATCTATCTTTCAATAAAAAAAAAAAACATTCACCTCGGTGTTCACCCCAAGAGGAAAGAGTGATGCAGATACCCAAACGATTAAGAAGAAATTAAGAAGATTAGATTAACTGATTCAGAGAAAAACATGATACAGATAAAAGTGCTCCGTAGCTCCGAAGTAGGTCAAAGGTCACCATCCATCATCTTTAAATTTGACAGAAGCTGTATTATTCATTCTCTGGCGTCATCTTCATCCATGTTGCCATCGTCATCCTCGTCGTCGTCCTCCAAAGTAAATACTTTTGGTTGAGCTTTGATCAAATAGAGGATACATGAGACAAAGATCAGATTGTTATGAAGATATATCACACCTTTCATTACAATTACATTACATTTCGCAGATACAAGTTGCTCCCAAATCACTCACATGATTTCTTCTTTCCCATGATTTGCTCACGCAAGAAATTGCACTCTTGCTCAAGATCCTTTATTATTTTTTCTTGCCATTGGATCCTGGCTTCTAGGAACGCTACTTTGGAGACTGATCCTTAAAAACAAAAATGACAGCAGGATACAAAAAAGATTATGATTTGACAGTATTGAGTGAGCGAGTGAGAGAGTGAGTGAGAGTGAGAGAGAAAGACATGCATGCAACAAAGGTAGTGGACCAGATATGGTGTGTGCCTTAACTTGATTTGTAAGCACATGTGTACTGACAAAACCTGCCAACAAGCAGAAGAATTGGAAGACATTTAGGAATTTAGCAACACAATCTGCCTTTTTCATCAGCTGAGGCTTGAACTCACAACCTCTGAGACTAAGAATCAATTTCTATCTCACTGAGCTAATTAGTCAGTGACAATTCATGTGTAGCTTCACAAACTGACTAAGCCAGATGTGCAGGTTTAGCAGCCGTCCATGCATGGAAAAGCAGATTTCAAACCACTGTAAAAAAATTCACTTATCAAAACAAAAATCTGAAAATACACATATTGCATCTAGACAGCATGGAGATGTTGGTAATTTGTTTGTAACAATGATTGATTTGCTTCATAAGTGAAAAACTGATGTTTAACTAGTTGAGCTATGTGCAAAGTGAAGCAATAAGCAATAAGCTGGAGCACAGGAAGATGTTTACATTACAGTGTGGATTCTGCACCAGTTGAGACTTGAATCTGCAACCTCTGAAACCTAAGATGGTCCTCTACCGCTCTGAGCTAATTGGCAAGTAGCAACTCAACAGTGGCTTCATAAATTGAGTAAGCCATTCACTGTGTAGGAAAGCAGCCATCCGTGCATGGAAAGGCAGATTTGAAACCACTGTAAAAAATTCAGTTATTAAGACAAAAATGTGAAAATACACATATTGCATCTAGACAGCATGGGGATGTTGGTAATTTATTTTAACAATGATTGATTTGCTTCATAAGTGAAAAACTGATGTTTAACTAGTTGAGCTATGTGTAAAGTGAGAAGCCTCAGATGGTTTAACACTAAAGTATTGACACTGGATCTTTGTGCAAAGTTTGGTTTATTTTCAAGCATGAGAAGGCAGATTTTCTAGCAGAAAAAAGACTTGTAGATGCTGAACAACGATGAGTCAGGCTCAAGCAATTCTAAGCAATAAACTGGAGCACAGGAAGATGATTAAGATGTTTAAATTACAATGTGGATTCTGCACCAGTTGAGGCTCAAACCCGCAACCTCCGGAACCTAAGACGGTCATCTACCGCTCTGAGCTAATTGGCAAGTAGCAACTCAACAGTGGCTTCATAAACTGAGCAAGCCATTCACTGTGTAGGAAAGCAGCCATCCGTGCAGGGAAAGGCAGATTTGAAACCACTGTAAAAAATTGAGTTATTAAGACAAAAATCTGAAAATACACATATTGCATCTAGACAGCATGGGGATGTTGGTAATTTGTTTGTAACAATGATTGATTTGCTCCATAAGTGAAAAACTGATGTTTAAAATTGCCATTTTTACATTGACTCCAATTGTTCACATTAGAGCAAAATTCAAAATGCTGTCAAAAATTCAGTTTTTGAGATAAAATTCTGAAATTTGCCACACATCAATCTAGAATTTTGTCATTTTTTTCATGAACATTGAAGATTTATTTAGCAAGAATTTGCATGTATATGTTTACAGTAC